GATGTATATACGATTGTATATACATTACAAACAATTATCTCAAATACAGATCAGCTATTCCTCAACACTTTTGGAGTATAATACTTAACAATGTATTAATAGCTCAAGACTTTATCACACACACACACACACTCACTCACTCACTCACTCACTCACTCACTCTCACTCATATAGTAATTGTTGACTATTTTTAATAGACTGTCAACAGAAGTAACGGTGCGGTAAGGGGTAACCGGTTATTGTCATCATTATCAAATTTGTGATAAACAACAATTGAATTCATTTTGATTTACATGTATTATTATCAATAATAAATGCGTTCAATTGTTGTTTATACAATAATACACTATTATATTATCTATTGTATCACATCAACATATTACATCAATGTAGGGTAATATAATTTAAACAAGGCTATAGAAAATAAAATAGTTATAGTTATTTACGGGTGATTCAGTACTGAACAATGTAACCAGTATGATTACCGCTATCTAAAAAACAAAATATTATACTTATAGGTAATAAAACTGTAATAACTAATAAAATATAACACATTGCAACTCATCTATTACAACTAAATTACTATAATTGTATTTTGCAAAATATTTCATTTATTATAACTAATGCCGGGCTATGAAAGAGATCGGTTTGTAGGGCTGAGCCCGGCTCACATCCAGGAGCTATCATGCAGTATATGTCTGAACATATTCCGGGATCCAGTGGTCACCCCGTGCTGTCATCAAACCTTTTGCAGGGATTGTCTCATTGAATGGCTGAAAGGAAATACTGTCTGTCCTTACGATAGGAAAACCCTTAATGCGAATGAACTGTATAAACCTCGTAGGTGGGTTACTTTTTAATCAATTATTTTATATTTAATTAATGATAATGTAATTATCAGGGTATTTGAAGACAAACTAAGCAAACTTGAAATTAAATGTCAGTTCAGTAATAATGGGTGTCCATCAGTGGTACCCTTGGATCAGTTGCCACAACATGTGAACTCCTGTCCATACGGTGCCCCCATATGTGAGTCAGGCTATGAAAGCGATCGGTTTGTAGGGCTAAGTGCCGCCGCTATACAGGAGCTGTCGTGTAGTATATGTCTCAACATATTTCGGGATCCCGTGGTCTCCCAGTGCTGTCGACAGACCTTTTGCAGGGATTGTATCACTGATTGGCTCAAAGGAAATACGGTTTGTCCTTATGATCGGAAAACCCTAACTGTGAATGAACTACATAAGCCATCTAGGTGAATTAATTTCTTAAATAAAATTGTTTTAAAATACTTAATTAAGTTTATTTTTATCAGGGTATTTGAAGCCATGTTTGGCAAACTTGAGATTAAATGTGAGTTCAGTGATAAAGGGTGTCAATCGGTGGTACCATTGGATCAGTTGTCACAACACGTGGACTCGTGTCCATACCATACATCCAAAGTACTGGTATATACAAAGTCCAGAACTACAAGGTGAGTTAATTATTTGAATATAATTTAATGCTAGGTACTATATTATTTGTATTTTTTCTATTTAGGGTATTTGAAACTATATTGGGTAGATTTAAGATTAAATGTAAAATCAGTGATAAATGGTGTTTTTGTGGGAAATGTTTTTGTGAACAAACCTCTGGACACGACTGCATACAGGCGTTACTCGCACTCAACCGGACGGCTAATAACGAGATTAAAACAGTGAATCAGAAACTCGAGTTTTATATGCCCAGGGTCTCATATGCTGTCAATATACCACAACCTAGAACAAGTGGCCCGGTAAGTAAATTTCAATATAGATATTTTTTTATTTAAACTTATGTTAGCACAAAATTATACATAACATGTTATGATAACAAAATTATGAAGGTTATGTGTTATTTATAAATTAAATGCAATTTTTAACGTATAACTTTGAAATATCTTATTTGATCTTAAGCGTAATTAAATCAAAATAATATTAAATCAGTTTAAAAAATACACATTTATTTTATATTTTTATTTAACATTGAAACGCAAATCAATAATTAATTTTGTATTCATCTGGATTAATTTTAGCAGAATTTTATGTAAAGTTAATTAATTTCTTATAAGATATTAAACTATTTTAATATTAGATTTATGTTATATTTTAAACGCAAATAACTAATTAATGTTGAATTAATCTGGATGTAAATTCTGGATGTAATTTATTTTCCATAAGATATTAAAATATTTTTTGTATTTCAAAAACAGGTATCAATTGAATCAATACTAACGACTGCCAGAAGTGAGAGGTTTAATGCAGTGATCGTTGGCTGCGATATGAAGGATGACTTTCGACACAAAGTACTCGTTATAGTGGCCGAGGAGTTGATGAATGACATCCAATTGGGAAAGGTATGCAAAAATATTGTCCACAAATTGGACCAAAAATTTGGTGTCTATTGGAACTGTATCTGTGATTACAAAGAGGGAGTAGCCAGGTATGTTACGCACAAGAAAGGTTTCTGGATCAAGTTGAAAATTGGCCAGCTCATATTTGATATTTATAAGGGTAAGAAATAGTTGTTAATAAAAATGTCAACATTAAAAATATCTTAAAAATAATCTAATTTTTATTATGCATATAAATTGTATCTATTATAATTAGCATATAAATCACTCTTATAGTAATTGTTGACTATTTTTAATAGACTACCAACAGAAGCAACGGTGCGGCCCGGGATTCACAGGTGATTGTCATCGCAAGGACTCTTAAACACCATATTTGTGATAAACAACCATGAATGTATTTTTAATTGTTGTTTATAATACAGTATAATATTATCTTCTATATTTGTGATCTAGAAAAACATTTTGGGAAAACAGAAAAGCATAGAAAATATAGTCACGCAGTGAAAAGCTTTAATTCACAGATTACTCACTTTACTCATTCATACAAATACATTAAGATATGTAATCGTAATCTGTGAATTTAGAGCTTTTTACTAAATTACTATATTTACGATATTCTCAAATAGTTTTCTAAGACCACATATAATAAACTACCTGGACATATAACACCAATGTACGGTAATACAATATGATTTAAACAAAGCTATAGAAAATAAAATAGTTTAAGGGTGATTCAGTACTATGCAATGGTAACCTTTATCATTACCGCTATCTAAAAAACAAAATACTTTTAAGTAATAAAATTATAATCCATAATAAAATATAACACATTGCGATTCAGTTATTATAACTAGTTTAATATTATTGTATTTTATTTATAAGTTATATTTATATGTTGTATTAAGCTGGAGTAATTTGTCAAAGTCTGAATGTAATTTATTTTCCATAAGATATTAAATTTTTTTTGTATTTCAAAAACAATATCAATTGAATCAATACTAACGACTGCCAGGAGTGAGAGGTTTAATGTAGTGATCGTTGGGTGCGATATAAAGGATGACTTCCGACACAAAGTACTCGTTATAGTGGCCGAGGAGTTGATGAATGACATCCAATTGGGAAAGGTATGCAAAAATATTGTCCACAATTTGGACCGAAAACTGGTTTTTTAACTGTATCTGTGATCACAAAGAGGGAGTGTCCAGGTATTTTACTTACCAAAATGGTACTTATTACTTATAAAAACATTAGCTGGGTCAGTTTCAAAATTGGTCAGTTCACATTTGATATTTATAACTTATAAATTATAAGTTTATAAGGGTTTTAATTAAATGTTAATAATAAAAATTTTAGTATTAGAGATCTTAAAAATAATATAATTTTTAATATGCTAAATAAATTGTATCTATTTTAATTAACATATAAATGAATTAATAAAAATAAATGTTATAACTTATAAGCATAAGTTTATTTAACATAGCTTGTCTAAATAAATTCATGTACTGTATTACTATATTTTCAAGTAACAGGTTAGAAATGCTAACTACTTTTATAATAATAATAATAATTTTACATAACAATTTGTTTGCTCAACATTTCACCTGTTCTTGGTAAATCACTATTACAATAAAGTTTCAAAATAATGTAACAATAAATATGATGTTTATTTTAATAAATACTTTCATACTGTATAATACTATTTTACATATTACTATTAATAAATTTAGAGTAATGCCGGGTTATGACACAAAACAGTTTGTAGGTCTAAACGCCAAAGACATACCGGAGCTGTCATGTAGTATATGTCTAAACATATTTCGCGATCCCGTGGTCTCCCAGTGCTGTCGGCAGACCTTTTGCAGGGATTGTATCACTGATTGGCTTAAAAGTAGTCCNCATGTAGTATATGTCTAAACATATTTCGCGATCCCGTGGTCTCCCAGTGCTGTCGGCAGACCTTTTGCAGGGATTGTATCACTGATTGGCTTAAAAGTAGTCCAATTTGTCCGTACGACAGAAAAACATTAACTTTACATAAGTTACATAAGCCACCTAGGTATAATAATATCAAAAAATTTCAAATTAATTAATTCAAAATGTTTGGTATTTATAGAGCCTTTGAGAACATGTTAAATAATCTACAAATTAAATGCCAATTCAGTGATAATGGGTGTCCATCGGTGGTACCATTGGATCAGTTGTCACAACACGTGGATTCGTGTCAATACGATGCGTCCAAATGTGGGAAATGTTTTTGTGACCTAAAGTCGGGTCACGACTGCATTCAGTCATTACTGGCAGTCAATACGCAACTAAAGGTTGAAAACATAAGTTTATTACAAAAAATGATGTCTAATCTGAATACCGGTGCCGGTATGACAGAAACTAGCGACGCTACACATGTAAGTAATTATTGTATAACATTCAAATAAATTAATTATAAATATTTTTTAAATAAGTTACCTATGTTATATAAACGTATTTAATCGACAACACGGAAATTTTAGTATTATTATTATTAATAATAATAATATGTGTGTAAATAATAAAATAGACAACATTATATGATATCAAAATAATAATATAAGCTAATTAATTTAAACTTATACTTTAAATATGATAAATAATTAGTTTACTTAATTTTAAAAAGTAAAACTCATTTATTAACCAAATTTGCAATCAATTACAGTTACTAATATAATATTAGTAATATTATAACCTATAATAATATTATTATAATTAAAACTAATTATAATTAAATCCAAAGCAGACATCATTTGAATCGGTTTTATCGGTGGCCCGAAGGGAGAGATTCAATGGTGTAGTGATTGGCAGCGATATGAAGGACGATATGGTTGTGAATGTCATGACTATAATCAGCCGGGAATTGATGGCTGAAAATAGTTTTCCTGATATTTGCAAAAATATTTGCCACAAATTGGATCAAAAGTTTGGCAAATACTGGAACTGTATGTCTAATTACCGGGAGTGTTGCACGGGTAAGGTGGGACATTTTACATATCAGCCTGGTTGTTTGATAAAGTGTCGTGTAGGGCAACTGCGATTTGATATTTATAGAGGAGCCAGATCATAATTATGAAATAAATATCATATAAAAATAATTTTTAAAATAAAAAATGCAATAAAATAAAATGTAATTGCTAATTATTTTGGCGTTTAAATTATTTTTGAAAATGGTTTTTAATGAATTGGTTTTGAGACAAATCTCTTGGTTTAATAGATTTCAAACTTTTGGCAAACTTTTCAGAAAACTTTCTCAACAACTCGTAGTTTATATTATAACGAAAATAAATACGGTATAAAAGGCTATAAAATGATTGCATTGTTTTATAATTGATTGCAATATAAAACCTAGATGGTTGCTGAATTAGGTGCAAAATTTGACAACTCACATTAGATATTTATAAGTGTATTAAGTAATTGTTAATAATAAATTACTAAAAAGCTACTAAAATATATATTTATATTAAATCACATTTATATTAAATAATTTAAGCAATGATTGAATTCATTTTCATTTACACGTACTATATTATAATAAATTAAAGTACATGTCATATGACAGAAATATAATTTTATGACTGTTGAAATAGTTAAAGTTATTTACATGAATTTAAAGTTTGTCAACACAATACATCTGTTAATACAACTGTTATCTATAAAACAAAATAATTATAAGTATAATAATAAATAATCCATAATAAAATATAACATATTGCAACTCAGCTATAATAATTAGTTTACACTACAGTACTATTATTGTATTTTACAAAATATTAAATATTTTGTAAACTAATGCCGGGCTATGAAAGAGATCGGTTTGTAAGGCTGAGTCCGACTGACATACAGGAGCTATCGTGTAGTATATGTCTCAACATATTCCGGGATCCAGTGGTCGCCCAGTGCTGTCGGCAGACCTTTTGCAGGGATTGTATCACTGATTGGTTCCAAGAAAATACTGCCTGTCCTTATGATAGGAAGACCTTAACTATGAGTGAACTATATAAGCCACCAAGGTACATTATTTTCTTTAAATTATTTTATATTATTTAATTAATGGTAATGTTAAATATAATCAGGGTATTTGAAGCCATATTGGGTAAACTTAAGATTAAATGTCAATTCAGTGACAATGGGTGTCCATCGGTGGTACCATTGGATCAGTTGTCACAACACGTGGACTCGTGTCCATACGATGCCTCCAAATGTGGGAAATGTTTTTGTGAACAAACCTCTGGACACGACTGCATACAGGCGTTACTCGCACTCAACCGGACGGCTAATAACGAGATTAAAACATTGAATCAAAAACTTGAGTTGTATATGACCAGGGTCTCAAATGATGTTAATATACCACAACCTAGAACTAATACTCCGGTAAGTAATTAACAAGTTCAAAATTTTTGTTTAAAAATAATTTTTAATATATTTTGGTAAACATGTGAAATGCAAAAATAATAACAATTTTACAAAAAAAAATACCACAACCTAGAACTAATACTCCGGTAAGTAAATAACAAGTTCAAAATTTTTGTTTAAAAATAATTTTTAATATATTTTGGTAAACATGTGAAATGCAAAAATAATAACAATTTTACAAAAAAAAACTTATAAATTATAAGTTATAATGATAATTATTTTATATTTTAATTTTGAATCCCACACAGAACTATAAATAATAACTAATAGTCATTAATTTGATTGTTGCCAGGTCAGTTATATAACTTTATTTTGCAAAACATGTATTGGTACTTTAGGGTCTAAAGCTTAGGGTGCATAACATTGTAAATAGCTAATTTCCATTAATGAATAAACCTACAGAAAAAATACAAGGTAATTATTTTTAAAGCGTGCATTTATTTAAAAAAACTTTCTAATGTCAATAAAACTGTTTATAATACAGATATAATTATCATTTTTAAAAATAGGTATCAATTGAATCGGGTGCAGACATGTCGGACTCCTGGACCACGCGGACCACACGTAGACTGTTTGGCCACCCGGTCCCATGTGACCCAATGGTTCCCACAAAAAACAAATGATGCTTGATTCATTTGTAAACTTTAATCTACTTTGTATTTTAACTCTTTTGCAACCAAAATAAATTATTTTAATGATACTACATTAATGTATACAAAATGTTGCTTATTCCAATTCAATGGTAATTACTAATTTTTCAAGATACATATTATATAATTTTATATTAAAATATGGCAAAAGTTACATTTATTTTTATTGTAATAAAACTTTTAATTCTTCAAAGCTGAAAGTTGATGAAAAATGATGAATTATCCTGGTTCTTTATAAAATTCATTTGCGAAAACATTTAGCCCTAAACTGGTGAGGGTCAGTGGGGATACACTCGTAACCATTGCAACAGTCGCTATCAAATGCACACGTCTGTGGGTTAGTGCACGACCCTGGTCATTCATACAAGAATTTCTAAATTGACAATATAATAAAACTTTAGAGTTTATACTTACATGCAGTTTTTCACGTAAATGGCCATGATGATAAACAAGACTATTAATACAATTAATTGAGTTTTCATTGTTCTGGCTAAAGTTGCAAGTTTATTTTGTTTAATAAGTAAAGTTGTTAATAATAGTAAAATATATCGTGTTCACCCTTTTATATAATTTATACAGTAAACAGCATTTATTACATATATTGCTAATTTAATCAGAAATAGCAAATAAATCAATAATAAACAATTAAATAGCAACATCCTGGTAGATTTACCTTTGTGATAAAAATAGATATAGACAGTCTAACAGTGTTGTTGTTATTTGGCAATTATTCAAACATAATCAGAAATAGCAAATAAATCAATAATAAACAATTAAATAGCAACATCCTGGTAGATTTACCTTTGTGATAAAAATAGATATAGACAGTCTAACAGTGTTGTTGTTATTTGGCAATTATTCAAACCAAATGAAATGATAAATATTATAAGTGATAAAACATTTGCAATAGTTAGTCAATAACGATAAAGATTTCTATATTTCAAATTCAAAATCTCAAGATTATACCCAAATTATGCTTAAAATTCTAAATTAATTCAAATAGTTATGAACCCATCAAATAGTTATTTATAGTTAAAAAATAAAACTCTCTTAAAATGACCTTTATTACATGATTCGTATGCATACTTAATCTCATGAAGTACTTGGCTGTCGCATCAAATAGTTAAATAACTGGTTTTGGATGCTTTAATTATTATTATTATTTATTGATATTGTAACAATGGTAAGATTACGAATGTCAATGTTAATTTAAATAAATATATACTGTTTATATTATTTTCTGTAAATTAATTGTTCATGAATTAAATATTTATTTATTTAATTAATGGTATTTATTTTAATTTAAAAACACTATTATATTATTTATATTATGCAATTTAATCTACTAATAACAATATATCATAATAATAATACGGTAAAATATTTTTTAATTATTCTGGAAAAATATAATATTATTATTTCGTAAATATTTTGAATAACACAATTAATAACAAAATTTTGCTATAAATAAGTTTTGTGCGTTAAATAATAAATATTTAAAAATGTTAGATAAATATACTTTTATTTTCATGCAAAATAGGTTTCAATAGAAAATGTGTAATAAAAGTGTTTATTAAAATTTTATAATATACTTTAATATACTTCTATAATATACCTTATATTTTATAATAGTGTTTTTAAACTAAAATTAACGGGCACTGACTTTTTGGCACACTGGGCACACCGGGCACACTGGGCACATTGGGCACATTGGGCACACTGGGCACA